TGATCTCAAAATAAATTTTGACAGCTGTCCATGAAAAATTCTGGTTGTTTGTCAGCAGTCTATCTACCTCATCCAAACCCCTTGGCCAAAGGTAGGGCAAGTTCTACAACCTGGCATGAGGTACGTGGGAACTTTGATTTTACTTCCAGTTCGGCTTTCGGTTCGGCTTTCGGTTCAGCTTTCGATTCGGCTTTCAGTTCAACTTTTAAATCAAGGTCTGGTAGCGATTAAATCTCGTTAGCAGGCCACTGAAGACTACTGAATACCGTCTGGGGCACACTGGGTGTTCCATTCGGGGTGTCAACTTTTACTGGCACAGGAACACCTGAGTGCTTTCCAGACGCCAAATTTTTTGTGCATAGAAGCGCGCCCCACCCTATATCAATTTAGGTCCTGTGGATTAATGTAGGTCCTGTGGATTAATTAAGATCATAGCTTGATGTAACAATTTGATGATAATAAAACTAAAAAAACTAATGGCTGTCAGTGTTGTATTCTTTGAAACAGACCACATCAGCAACAAATATATTAAGTGCACTTTTGTCAAAGCTGGGTTTGGCTTATTTTCAGGGGCAATCTTGTACGGTGTGCATTGTTCAAGATTGATATGTCACGCATAATGTTACGCAGGTAAATAATAACACCTTGAAAACAGGCTAAACAACAAAAGTACTAACTGTTTTACTTTCAGGATCTTTGATTCACAACAATTGGCCCATTTTCGGGGGCACGGTATGTTTGTATTGCAGCTGTACCTTTTTTTTGGGATCAGCAATTTGCACTATTGTGTATTGATCAAAAGTTCAAAATCTAATCATAATAATGTTACACAGGTAGGTAATTAAGAACACCTTGAATCACACCAAACAACCAGGATGTTTGCTTTTATGATCAGGTTCATTTTCGGGGGCAAACTTGCACTTGTGTACAGTCTGTGTTCAATAGTTAATAATAGTTAATAATGATAAAGGATATTACGCAGGTAAGTGTAAGAACACCTTGAATCATGCCAAGCAACACGGAAGATTTTTTTTAGGATTGAGCCTATTTTCGGGGGCAAAATTGCACTGGTGTCCAAATTGTTCTTGAATTTATAGTTCATGTAGTGTGTTAGAAATTTGCAGGTAGGTTGAACACCTTGCAAATATGACTAACACAACAAAAGTAAAAAGTCGGTGTTCTGCTTTCAGGGTCTTTGATTCGCAACAAGCCCATTTTCAGGGGCTTCAGAGTGGCATGCTTTCTTTGTTCCATTTACATGTATTTGCAGCGCACAAACTATAATGCACTGTTGTGCACTGTCTAATAGTTCAACATGTAACAATAAAACTATGCAGGTACAGTGAGTGACTTCACCTTGAAACCATGACAAACACCACAAACTACTAACTCAGAGTTTTGCTTTCAGGATCTTCAAGTTATTCGGTATGTAAGCCCATTTTCGGGGGCAATCATTCTGGCAATGCTTCAATCCACTTTTGGTGCATCCAATTTATCACATAGCAAAGAATGATGTAATTCAATTTGTAAAATGATGACAACAAAATAAATAAAATACAACAAAAACATGTCAAAAAACATGGTAGTCTTTGTTACTTTTTTGAAAACTCAAATAAATGTAATTGTATTTAATTTACCACAAAACACATAAAAACAATGTAATCAGTGCTTTTGTAATGATTTAGTGGAGTCATTTCCAAGCAATAAATTGTCAAAAACATGGTAGTCAGTGTTATTTTCTTGAACAGTTTAGCAAATGTACTTGCAAAGCAACATTTTGCTAAACAGCATAAAAGTAGAAATAACCAAGTTTTATTTCAGGATCTGTCTTGAATATGGAGCAAGCCTATTTTTACGCTAAGATTGTCATTTCAAGGAGCCGTCTTCAAAAACTTCATCTGTTCAGTCGTATTTTGACACCGAGTTCAATACAGATTGAAAATATGGACATACTAGCAAGTAAACGTTTCCACAATTTGATTACTGAAAACAGAGAGGAAGATGAGAACCTACTTCCAGAAGGATTTGAATACTGTCATTTAATTCATCTTCAAGTCAGGTAAGCAATACTTTTCATAATCTGAATATGACTTTAAGTAAGCATTTGGCCTTATGAACTATTCAAACAGTTTCTTCCATGAGGCAGTGCAAGTAACGGATCAACAGCATCATTTAAAACAGTCAATTAGTCCACAAAAAGTCAGTTTTCCTGTCAACAGTTATGCAATAATGTCTATTATGTCAACTCAATTATGCCACATTTGACATGACTGGATCAGGAACTAGTCTTGAAACATTTGAGAGCAGCAATACATACTGCCTACTCTGCTTAAATTCTTGTGTATTACATTGTCTGTGATCAATTGACTGTCAGGGGAAAAAAAATTATTTTTTCAAACTATTCAGCCACATTATTTTGCAGTGTCAACAGTGAGCATTGAGGAGCAATTGTCTGGATCATACAAATTATGTGGCATTACGGTAGCATTACATTAATTAGTGAACAGTTAACACTACTCAAAGTTCTTAGTTTCTAGCACAGCACTTTATTGCCAGACAGTGACAGGGTCATAGGACAAGAGTAGACGGTATGTATACAGGTACTTCAATGGAAGTATCAATGGTGTTGTTAAGAATTTATGAGGCAATATTGTATGTTCAGCAGAATTCTGATGCACTACTGACATCAACTATGTACATAAGCTTTACCAGGATCATTAACCAGTCCAAAAAACACCTGCTGCACTGCATTTACCATACTCTGCAGTAAACAGCACAGAACTACTAGTAGTTCATAATTATGTAGAAATTCTTCTGTGCAATAGAGTCAGTCAAGTACTCAGCACAGAGCAGCAGTGCTGCATTGTTAACAGAGCAATCATTATTTCTGTGCTGCGAGTAAAATATCAGGAGCAATTGTCTGGTCCTGTCAAATTCACAAAATCATTCAAAGATTATATCTAATTAAATTTACTTGGTTCTTTTATGTCTGCTAACCATTTTCAGATTTCTTAGATTCCAGATTTTTTTGTTACAAGAAAGAAGGGCCCATTGATGTGAACAGGCGATACACTATGGTGTAAGCTACAGTACACTGTAAGTATCAGTCAACTGTAAGGAACAGGAATTGTCCAGGCCAGTTCACTAAAATTCTGCTACACTGCAGCAATATTGGTCTGCAGTCAACAGCACAGAGCCACTGGTTTGTTCAGCAAAGAAATTCTGCTACATCAGTAGTCAGGCAACAGCATGGAAGTGATGGAATACTAGCTCAGAGGAATTTTCCAGCTCACTGAAATTCTGCCGCACTGCAGCAATATTAGTAACAGAGCAGTTTACAGCACAAAAATGTCGTAAAGCACTGTGCTAGAGGAGAGAAAGGCACGCTATCATGTTGCAAATGCCTTTTTAAGCAGATTGGAACTAATTTGGCTCATATATGTCCAAGTTGAAAATCTCCAAAATGTCCAAAAAATGCATTTTTGGCAAAAAGCTCCAGGAGTCAATGGGTTAAGTTTTAGTCAGTTCACTGTATTCAAGTCCTTAGTTTCCAGCACACCAGCTTCATTGCTACTCAAAAGAAAACAGTGACCAATGACACAAGAAGATGGTATATGTAGAGGTTCTGCCGTATACTTCAGTGTAAGTATCAATCAACCATTAATGTGGAAGACTTATTTTTCCATTTCACTTAAATACTGAGCAATAAGTGTCCAATCCATAAAAATTCTGCCACACTGCAGCAAGAGTAGCCTGCAGCCAACATCTAACAGAGAGCCACAATGGCTTATAAGTTCACTAATAGTCACTATGAGTATCACACTTGTGGCATCCTGCAGAATCTTAAGTCAGCATAGAGAACTTCTCTGAATGTATTTTTGTAGTATACACTCTACAGCATGTACCACAGCATCAGATCATCAATGAGGAGGAGAATTGTCGAACTCTCATTCACTAAACTTCGGCCATGATGTTGAGTCAGTCAGTAAACAGTGAATAATCAGGAGTAATAACCAGATTTATTGATACCAGACAATTCTTGTCTGGTCTGAATAAATCTGCAGCATCGCAGCATTAGTTTAAGTCAGCTAACAGTTTCAAAGTTATTAGCTTCCAGCACACCGCATTACCTCCAGTAACAATGAAATGCTGATGACACCTAAGTTCCCAGCCTCTAGTTCCCAGCCTCTACATCACTGCAAGTCACACCCAGAAACAAGGAAACAGCATTCAGCAACAGGAGACAGCATATGTACAGCTGCTTCATTTATGACACAGCATTGTAAGTACACGTAATCAATCACGACAAATATAAGGAGGAATCAGAAGAACTGTCTCATTAAAAACTTTGTTATGCTCCAGCGTCAGTCAACAGTCGGCCAACATTTCCCACCAGTTGTCTGCCAAACAAGTTATGTTTCACTGCAAAATTGGTAGTCTGTTATCAGCACAGGGTATCTGTGTACATTGTGATTTAGTTCCGTCACAAAGATGTATACACAGATAGTGCATTGTACCATACTTTTGATACATTTATAAACAGAAGGATTTGTCATCACTACTTTTGATTCACTATTGGTGCTGCCATACAACATAATGTTTCCCATGACCTAGAGAATTGCTCCATACTCTGTATAGTGACTAATTACCTGACAGGTAGTTAGTCACTATATGGTATGATATGTGATGACAAATACTTCTGGATATAAATTCATCTTCACTGCTGTATCAATGGTAAACAATCTCCTTTCATAAGAAATATGTGGTACAATGCACCATCACTCAAAAACAGCCAGAGCACAATATTCTGTATGGTTTATTTTCAGTTTCCAGCACAGGACCAAATTAGAATTGTCAGCCACACCCACTCAGAGACCAGAAACAGAGAAGTGCCCGTTATGAAATAAGGAACCAGCAAATCCTACAGGGTCAGTAAGTAATCAAGCAATCTTCTTTCCTTGGAAATATATGATGCATCTCAGTTAAAATCAGCCAGAATACAATATTCTGTATGATTTATTTTCAGTTTCCAGCACAGGACCAAAGAGTTGCCAGCCACTCCTAGTCACAAACAAGAAACAGACAAGCATCCATTACAAAATAAGGAACCAGCAAATTCTACAGTGTCTGTAAGTAATCAAGCCATCATAATCTTCTTCACTTTTAAGATTTTGCTGATTAAGATTTGATTTTGCTGTGTTAAATTTGTGAGAAATTATCTGGTTGATTATATTGAAGGATTCTGCCACACTGCGGCATTACTGGAACCAGTGTCAGCAAGTACTGTTACACAACTGTTACAACACTACAGTTTATGTAAGTAAACATTGACAAGTGATCTTCTTTATGTTTAAGATTTTCCTTTACTTTAGAACAACAGTTGTCAAACATTTACCTGGTTCATTATTTTTGAAAGATTCTGATATGCTGCAGCCTTGCATGTAGTTGTCAGCCAACAGTTAGGTACAAAAGTGTTTGCAGTCTATATTTTAGTTGTGATGTACTGCAGCGTCAACAATCAGTCAGCAGTTAGCAACAATATTATTGTTTAGTTCTGTCAGTCGAACAATCTGGAGCATATTTGACTAGTCCGTAAGCGTATGACTACAGCCTGTCTTGACTAGGCAAGTGGTCAAGAAACAATTTCCATTACTGAGAAGGGCACATTATACCCTTAGTAATTATTGCTTATAAAATGTACTAAAACCCTATTCTGCACAACATCATCTGTCACACTTGATGAACTACAGTATAAAGGGTAGCATTCTTGGACAATATAACGTTGAATTACAACTAAATGAAGGAAGAAGCAAAGCTAGTATTTGTAAATGCTTCTTGATTGTTATCAAGTTTATTTTTAACAGTTTTTCAAAGTACAGTTTAGTGATATTTCATTCCTATTGTATACAGGTTGTAAGTTTTGAAAGTGGTACCTGTCATGGAGAAATTAAATCTACCTCAGCACAACGTTGACAGCTTGCACCAACTGCAGCCATGCAGATATACCTGCAAGGACAACAAAAAAATTATGAAGTGATGATGCACCACCATTCAACAAGGTATGATAAATGCCCTTTTACAAGTGCTCTACATCCTAGCAGCATTTACCTTGCTCTACATCTAGGTTAAGGGGCATAGGAAGAAGGGGAGGAACAGCTGCCCAAAATAACCCCAAAACAAGTGACACTTGCATAGTACAAAAATCAGGCTGAGGTTTAAAACACATCCCCTAAATTGTGCTAGTAATGAAAAACATATTCCCCATGGTTTAATTAGCAGTCATTCTATGAGAGCAACCATGGTGTTAGGATGCTACAACCCTGGAAAAAACTATTAAGACACCATTGAGAAAGGGGACCTGATGGACCAAGAAGGGCAGGGGGGGGGGGGGGGTATTTAGTCTATCACAGGGTATCTAGCAGGGCTGTCAGGCTGCTAATAGCAACACTTTACTGGTACACATTTGGGCATCACAAGGGCACAAGTATCTTGTGCAAAAACATGTCAACACAATGTCCCTGCTCAGGGATAACCTGATCTCTTCATGTAATATTTGTATTTAGATTGATGCATGTATACTACAGCAGGGGTTTCATTAAGGGCCTGGCACCAAGCAAATCGACTGGCTGTGAGAACAATTTTGCCCGGCCGATTTGACCATCTAGTGGAAAGTTTTTCAAAGAAGTTCAGTTCAAATAGTTTTGCCCTTCCCCCTGTGATTACCCGTTGCCCTCCAGCTGAAATGAAACTGCTGCTATTGTACTGACTGAAGGTTCTAACAGAGTTTTTATATAAATGATTGATTTTGATTGATTGATTGACTGATTGATTGATTGCTTGATTGATCGATCGATCGATCCAGAGACCAATATCCATTTGACTCGCATCTCACACATAAAAAGTTAAAGCACCATTATAATGACCATTAAAATTTACATTTTGGTTTACAGCCAGCAGCCATAGATGCCCATGATGGGCCAAACAGATATCACTCGCTTGAAATGTTAAACATCACCAGTTGGAAGACTTCTGAAGGACTGCATACCTGACGTTGCTAGTTGAATCACAGTGAATCAAGATGAACTCACTTGATTCAGACAATTTGTTTTATTATGTTTACTCAGTATATTGCTCAACTACATATTTTTACAACAAATAAACAATGACAAATTTCAAATTGTCTTACAATAGGCCAGGATTGTTCACTGAAGGTTTTTTCCATCCAGTTGTTACTTGCTATTGTATCCTAGTCATTAAACCAGGCTGGACTATATTGATCGTATTCGTCAATAATGATCATCAAATTTTGTTGGCCAATTTCAGTTTAAAATGTTACAATCACAAAAACTGTTTTAAGTCAAGGTTCAAATTTAGAAGAACAAGTTAATTTTTGTTTAAATATCAAAAAAGAGGAGGCTATAGGTTACGTAAGATGTAGGCAGACGTGAAGCTTTTTTAGATCAATCCAGACCTTAAATTAGGTTTAGCTTTCCACCATGGAGGAAATTTCATTAAGTGACCACTTCATCACAGTCTAGATAGAGTATAGTTGCAACTGAAGTAATTGTCATCAAGTTAGCTTGCAAACTGACATAGAAAATCCCTCCAACTATGCAAAAGAAATTAAAATAAAAACTGCCTGTGCTAATCAGATATGTTGGCCTTAATAATGGTGAAAAACTCTCAATAGAAAATAATTGCCTAAGTTGCCAAATTTATCCACAACTCCATAGATTAGTAATAATAATTGGTTCATGTTCCAAATTTCATTCCTGACAATTTTATTCATGAGGTCATGATTGTATATAAAATCAGAACTGGAGCCAAAGAGATGATACACAGTTCTAAACAACTGAAGCACCATTTTAAAGTGAAAATCCTTGAAATAGTTTTTGTTAATTCTTAATTGGCCTAAAAAAACTTAATTGAAAAATTTTNGATTGATTGATTGACTGATTGACTTATTGATTGATTGATTGACTGACTGACTGACTGACTGATTGATTGATTGATTGATTGATTGATTGATTGATTGATTGATTGATTGATTGATTGATCTCACACATAAAAAGTTAAAGCACCATGATGACCATTAAAATTTACATTTTGTTTTACAGCCAGCAGCCATAGATGCCCATGATGGATGAAACAGATAAAGGACAGATCACTCGCTTCAAATGTTCAACATCACCAGTTGGAAGACTTCTGAAGGACTGCGTACCTGATGTTGCTAGTTGAGTCACTGTGAATCAAGATGAACTCACTTGATTCAGACAATTTGTTTTATTATGTTTACTCCGTATATTGCTCAACTATAGATTTTTACAACAAATAAACAAAGACAAATTTCAAATTGTCCTACAATAGGCCAGGATTGTTCACTGAAGGTTTTTTTCCATCCAGTTGTTACTTGCTATTGTATCCTAATCATTAAACCAGGCTGGACTATATTAATCATATTCATCAATAATGATCATCAAATTTTGTTGGCCAATTTCAGTTTAGAATGTTACACTCTCAAAAACTGTTTTAAGTCAAGGTTCAAGTTTAGAAGAACAAGTTAATTTATGTTTAAATATCAAAAAAGAGGAGGCTATAGGTTACGTAAGATGTAGGCAGACGTGAAGCTAGAGATCAATCCAGACCTTAAATCAGGTTTAGCTTTCCATCATGGAGGAAATTTCATTAAGTGACCACTTCATCACAGTCTAGATAGAGTATTGTTGCAACTGAAGTAATTGTCATCAAGTTAGCTTGCAAACTGACATAGAAAATCCCTCCAACTATACAAAAGAAATTAAAATAAAAACTGCCTGTGCTACAGATCAGATATGTTGGCCTTAATAATGGTGAAAAACTCTCAATAGGAAATAATTGCCTAAGTTGCCAAATTTATCCACAAATCCATAGATTAGTAATAATAATTGGTTCATGTTCCAAATTTCATTCCTGACAATTTTATTCATGAGGTCATGATTGTATATAAAATCAGAACTGGAGCCAAAGAGATGATACACAGTTCTAAACAACTGAAGCACCATTTTAAAGTGAAAATCCTTGAAATAGTTTTTGTTAATTCTTAATTGGCCTAAAAAAACTTAATTGAAAAATTTTAAAAAAATCCTGCAGGAGTACTATCACCTTTTAGTATAAATCTACTTGCATTCTATCACAAATGCCATTCTCTGATTGGCTACACTACTCACTATCTATTCTGTCATCAATAGTGAGTAGCGTAGCAGTGCGTGCTTGTTAACAAAATGACAGCCGCTTCTTCGTGTTTTCGAGGTGTCTTCGAACAGGATTTAGATAAAATTTTGAACAACTAATAAGTAGATTTATACTAAAACAATTAGATTATTCACTCTTGATTTTTATCGGGTGATAGAAATCACGAGCTCATAATCTAATTGTTTAATGGAAGAACTAGCATCGTCTCTTTGTCATCCAATGCCATGTACATGTTTCCATGTTTTTCAATCCGTCCATCTCCTTGATTATCTGATCATGATTTAAGATCACTCTTCTGTGAATAAATTTGGCTAACTGTGGAGCAATCATTTTCTGCTAAGAGCTTTAATCATTATTTCAGCCAGTATATCAGTTAATAGCCAGGCAATTTTTATTACATTTTCTTTGGTTGATTGGCTTTTTATTTCATCTTTTAAAACCTGAAAAAAAATATATATTACTGGCATTTAAACAGTTAAGTGGTCACTAATGAGGTTTCAAAATGATCCTTTCACTTTTATTTATTATTACTAATTTATTTATTTACAGTACTTGACTTGATTTCACCAATATTAATTTTCTTTTAAGTTCAGCCTCTTTGACCCAGACTTGAATTTCCAAGCATGAATTTATTAGTATTAATTTCACTACCTGATCAGTACTGGAATAACTGATGTTGGGACATTCTGGATTCTTCTTAATTTGCTTTTAAAGCTGTACTAGCACTAACCCTGACAAATAACCTTCAAAGCATCTAACAAGTTAATGCTATAAACAATGCATGAAGAATTCCAGATGTTCCAATTCAGATAAAAAAATGCAAAATGTAAGTGCAATACTTGCAGATAAAATTTTAAAGTTGGTCAAAAATTCAAGTCTAGCTTAAATGGGACACCTGTTTTAAGAGTATTATTTTAAGTTCACTTTCAGTATTAATACAAAAAAGAAATACAGTCTGTCTGCCTTGAATATGGTTTATAATCTGTTTAGGCACCTTAAAACCCCAAAGGTGGCACCATAGCAGTGGGTCGGGGGTACACGGTCCCCATTTTTACCAAGTATTGGTTTTTTGGGGTTTACGTGTCCAGCTGTGGCACGTTTAGGATTCTTTAAGAAATGAAACAGGAATTGGGTGATTTTTACAAAACCCATGAAAATTTACTTTAATTATTTTCTGACAATTTATATAAAACTTATCAACATTTGCGTTTTTATTGTTCAGCATTTTGTTTCTTTTTGACCAACTATATTAACATAGTTGAGTCTGATAATTTAATTTTGT